GGTTTAGATGAGTTTATGAGGCTGGGGTCCTCATGATGGGATTAGTGCCCTTATGAGAGGAGAACCCAGAGCGTGCTTTCCCTCTCTCCCCCATGTGAGGACACAGCAGAAAGGCTTCCCGCAGAGCAGGAAGCAGGTCCTCACCCAGACACTGCATCCGCTGGCACTTTGACCGTGGACCTCCCAGCTGCCAGAACCGCGAGATATAAATCTCTTTGTAGTTTTAAACCACCATTCTATGGTATTTTGTTATAGCAGCCCGAGCTAAGACTCTATCCTTATTCTTCTCCATTTTTTTCATAGCACCTACATCTTTGTTTTGTAGTAATCTCTTCCGAGGAGAGAGATCTATGATGGCAGGGTCTTTGTGTTTTGTTTTTTTTTTGCTATTTGCTTAGTATCTGCATTACTGAGATTCTCAGTAACATTTAATAAATATCTGTTGAATGAATGAATCTAATTTTTTAACTCAGCTACTGCTAAGTAATGCAAAGTTAGTCATTTGTGCCATTAGTTCACAGGAGAGCTTCTCCACACACCTCCCTGCCCCCTAAAAATGGAAGATACTTAAGCAGTTAGAGTTGCCAATGGCTGACATAACAATTACAGGTCTATAATCTGAATGTGAATAGGAATTATAATTTAAAAAAAAAAATCCAGGCATAAGACAAATAGAAAAAATACATATAATTTTTTTAAACTTTTCAATTGTCAAAGCTAATGCATTATAGCTAATTGAGGAGTAGAGAAGAAATTTAACAAGCTGATTGTTTCATGAAACAAGGTGTTTTCATTTTGTTTTGCTTTTGAGCTTTTTTTTTTTGTCTTTTCTAGTCTTGAACATGTTGTTTATATTTGAGCTGATAAAAAGAATTCTGAGCCATCCAGTGTATTTTTTAAGTTCATTTGTTAGACAAAATATGAGGAAACATGGTCTATTTTATCACTTTTTTCTTTCTTTCTTTCTAAATGGCTATTTAAATACAGATAACAGTGTGCAGGAGAAAGTGGAGGAGCAGGTTCTGCCACCCTGCCCGGCTCACCAGTTACCCGATATCTCCACTCAGACGGCAGCACCAGCAAAGTGGTGTAACAGGGTTGGAAACTTATCCACACTGAACCCCCAAACACAGGAAGAAGCCCTCATGTTAAGAACTGTGGAGGCTGGAGTAAATCACTCACAGAGTGATGACCAATGCTACTCACAGAGTAGAAAAAGGAACTCCACATGAAAGGGAATAGAAGAAAAGTCAACGTGAAGGCACTATATAACATCTAAGTTTTTCTTAGAAGATCAAGCCAAAAAATATGGAACACAAATGCACACCCCGGTTTTGGCCATGGAATTCAAACGATAGTTTTACTTCTACCAAGAGTTTCACACTTGGTTTCTGGCCAAAAATATGAAGACTTTTTTACGCGGGATATGCCATTTTCTTAAAACAATTCATGTTTCTTATTAACAGAATTTGCTTTTGATGTGGTAATTTAGTTTAGACAGAACTATATATATAATTAATATAAACATTTACCATAAATCGTACAAAATTATATGAATTATCATTACAAATAAATGTGTTTAGCACCTATTTTGTTAATAGCCCACTGTCTTGGAGAATTTGCATTTTTCTCTACTAAAGCAAGTGTTCAGGCTACTTCTCCTAATTTTTTATTCTGGCAGCTAGAATAAAAGTTTTCAATAGTAACAAAATTAAGTGTCCTTCCAGGACTGGGGAAAGTTGAGTGATGTATTGACATGTTCACCCAGGGACCTGGTTTCTGGGCCTACACTCCCTCAGTGACTAAGGAGGGTGCCTGGAAGTTCCCAATGCTTCTTATTGTAGAATATGACTTAACCTCTTTGAGCCTCCTTTTCCTTCTTATAAAGCTAGGGTATTATATAATTATAAAATATTTGAGTGGTTTCCAAGTCCCTTCCAGATCTAAAAGTACATCATTTAAAGCTGCTGAAAATACATTTAAAATTAACTGTGATATATGTGTGTGTTTATACATACATATATATACATGCATGCATACATACATACACTCAGTTTCGCTGTGAAAGGGGAGAGGCTATACAGTATTTTGTACCAGAACTTTACCGTGCACCAGTATCGAGGTTTGTTCCTGAAAAAAATAAATAAATAATAATAATAATAATGATAATGTTTCAAGGTGGCATTCTCCCTACAGGGGGAGTTCTGAGAAGTCAGGTTCAGGAAATAGTTCAGCTACTCCCATTTAGTCTCCAGGTGCTTCAGTCAGGATACAAGGCAATGTTTTTGAAACCACATCCCAGCTCAACTGGGAACCCAGCGAAATTTGTAACCCCCGTTGGCTGTCCGAATGGTGAAGGCATTGCCCTGCGGGAAAGCGAGAGTGCGAATGGTGCTATGGCTGCGGATGGGGGTGCTGAAGGAGCCTCCCTCCTCCAGTTCACTCTGGCTCAGGTTCAGCGAGCTCTGGCTGCAGTCTGTGCGCAGACCTCGGAAGGCGCCGTGCAAGTTACCAGGCCTGCGGTCCATATTGACTGGCTCTGGCTGCAGCCGGAGCCTCTTGGGGTCGCGGCTCTGTAGTGCTTCATCGCAGCGCTGGGAAATCTCCCTCAGGATAGCGTCCACTTCCGCGCAGTCCTGCCCCGCAGCGCTGAACAACTCCTCCAGGCTCCTTTTGGCAGTCGCCTTGAGTAGGAAGGGCTCCGCTGCCGCCCCGCAATCCCGAGACTGCGTGATCATCAGCTTCTACAAAAGATAGAGATGGAACGCCGCTCTGGGGCCAGCCGGACTCGCCTCGTGCGGGGCGCGCAAAGGATATCTGGGCGCGCTTCCAACGCGCGACTCTGCGGACTTAGGCGTCCCCAGCTAGTGACTTCGCGAGCTTACAGTGGTCCCCTCCTTTCCCCACCCCTGCCAGGTCCCCAACTCTAGGAACAGGGTCTGGGTTAAACAGGAACATTTCCGATTTCCCGCAGTGTCCCATCCGCCCGCTCCCCACTTACATCCAGCACCGAGGCCAGGTGCCGGGTTCGACTGGCAAGTTCCTTCAGTTGCACGTTCCGCTCCTTGAGCGAAGCGATCTCCTCCTGTTTCTGAGTCAGCGTCACATGTAGCTGCAGGAGAAGACCCAAACGTTCAGAGGTAGGCCACCGTGCTCTGTCTCTTCTGTACACTCTGCATGAATTAAACCCAGATCCTAACGTCTAACCAGGAACTGGGGACCAAAGGTCATTTACACTGGTGAGAACAATAATCAATTCTCTTTATTTGACTTATATTTTTCACAAAGCACTTAGACAAAATGTATCTCAATTAATCTTCAGTGTAGCGGCGTGGCGGTGAAGAGTACTGACTCTGGTGACAGGCATATCCAGGTTCTGCCTCTGAAGTTCAACCTCCCTATACCTCACTTTCCTTATCTGTAAAATGAGGCTAGTAAGAGTGTCTAGCTCAACGGTTGTATTAAATGGTAGGAGAACGTAAACGGATAAGGACAATACCAGGCATATAGAAAACCTTCAATAAATATTGGCGGCCCTATTAAAAATCTGGTAGGGTAGGATTATTCCCACTTAGTGAAGTTGGGAACTGAGGTAGAGTCACTGGAGCAATAGCACCTGTGAGAA